ACCTCACCTTACTGCTGATGCTCTGATGTCCTTCCTTTAAGGGTCAATACTCCTCCCTGTAGAGTGCCCATATATCTTCAGCTGAAAATAATTGTCCTGTACTTGCTAGGGATGAGGTTCACCTGGAACCTTAGTTCTAAACTCCTGGGTCTAGTTTTACACATTATTAAGTTAGGTACTAATGCTAGGAATCATGGGACAGAGAGCAGGTGTTCAAAAACTAGTGAAGGAGAGACAACTGGGTGGCTCAGTCATTAAGTGTCTGCCTTCGGCTCAGGTCATGATCCCAGGGTCCTGGGATCAAGCCTTGTGTCGGGCTCCCTGCTCAGTGGGAGGCCTGCTTCTCCCTCTCCCACTCCCCCTACTTGTGTTCCCTCTCTCGCTGTGTCTCTCTATCAAATAAATAAAATCTTAAAAAAAAAAAAAAAAACTAGTGAAGGAGAAGAGCTTTGAAAGATTCTACTCATTCAATTGGTTCTAATGTGCTCATGACCCTTCAGGTCCACAGGTCCGAAGAGACCACTTATGTCTCCTGATGAGAGCGTTATCATCCTAGATTCAGGTTCTTCTGGCACAGGAATGGACATGTTAGGGGCGGGAGTTCAGATTCAGAATGAATTCCCACTATGTTTACTCTGCCTTCCTCAAGTCCTTCTTGCTGGGTTCACCAAGGCACCCACGCTGAGGCTCGTCCCTGCTCCTGCTCCTGAACGCACTGTAACCAAGGCAGATGACTCATCAACAGCCTGGCCTCGCTGTTACAATGAAGCCAACCTCCCCAGACCTTGTGGCATAGCCACACAACCGGGTATCTGCCTGCCCTCTTGAGTCTCCGGCCAGATTCCAATCATAGCCCTTCCTACTCTTGGAGTTAGCCCAATTTGTAAAGCTGAACCTTGGCCAAGATTTTCTCCTTTCATTGCTTTCTTCCCTGCCAACTTCCACAGTCCTTCTTACAGCCTGGATCCCGTCCTGAATCTTAACCCCGTGGCTGGGGCCAGGGTACCCCTCTAGAGCCCACCTGTTCTTTCTGTAGGCACAGATACTAGTTTCTATGCCCTCCACCTGCTAGCCGGGATCCTGCCAGACTGCCTGCCTTCTGAGTTAAAACAGCACTGGGATCATGGCCTGCCATGGAATGATGGTCTGTAACCATTGCTCAAGCAGCTGTGCCTTGGACTCAGTGGAACCTGCAGTGCAGCCAGTGAGAGCAGACAGGTAGCCTACCCACCCCACCTCATCCTCCTTTTCCTGACATTGGTTTTCTGAGCACCAGTGGACCTTGATCTTGAACCAAGTGTCTGTCCTTGGACCCATCTCATCTCTTACAAATCTATTACTTCATGGTGGTTAAGAACATGGAATAAGGGTGTATCCTTTGGCATGTTACTTCACCTGAGTATATTGCCATTTCTTCATCTCTACTATGGGTATAATAACAAAACATACCTCCCAGGGATGTTGGGAAGTTTGGATTTGATTCAGGCCATAAAGCATTTTCTCTATAAGGCATTGTGCTAAGTGATCAATAAATAGAAGTATTTCTAGTTGCCTCTCTAGATCATAGGCTGGACACTTGAAAAGTTATTTGTTGTCTATCAAAAACTTCAATCTTTTTTCTCTGCTAATCTTTAGAATCCTCATGAAAAATCATATAAATCCAGTTTTCTGGAGCAATACAGGTTACTTAAACCCAGATGGTATTTAAATGAAATAAATTATAAACTCTTGGACACAGAAGAATGCTTTTGACTGTCACTGAGTATTTGGTACAAGATTTTTACCTCCAAAATAGGACACATACCAGCATCTGTCTTTGGCCCCATATTAACTTTCCCATTTGAAGAGATGGTTTCTAAGATGTCAGAAGCTCGTTTCAGTTGCTAGGCAAAAAAAAAAAAAAAGAAAAGAAAAGCAAGGCATGACATATTAGCTTCAGACTTGAAAGCAGCAGAGATCTTCTCAGGATCTGTACTGATCTGTAAAACTAAATCCAGATGTGATGTGATTTGGTGGTGTGAAAGTGAAGCCAGGAGGGGTTTCGTATTTTTATGTGATAACTGCCCTCTGGTGGGAGAGACTAGAATTACACAGATAAGAGACAACAGTGTCTGAAATGATAAATGAGAAATTCTTATTCCTCTTGTCTTTTGACTTCATATTCCAAATAAAAGTCCTCATACACTAAGCCCATTTCACAGTTTGGTCTAACCCTTGCAGCTTTTAGGTCATTCTTATTGTGAGGGGGTGCAGGATGAGAATTGGGAAATTTTTGAAGAATAAATGTTTAACCCTTGCTTTCCGATTGAAAACTACCAAGCGTAAACTATGCTGGTTCTACCTAAATATACCTAAAGAGGCATCATACTAATGTGAGTAAAGTTTTTAGGGACATAAAGACCTGTATTGAATCCTCACTCTGCCCTTTATTCTCTGCTTGTTCCAGAGCAAGTCACGACATTTCTAAGGCTTAATTTCTTCTTAGCCAGGAAAAAGGGGAAAAATACATACACCTTTTAAGGTTGTTTTGAGGATTAGAAGAGATATCAAACCCTTAGAACAGAACCCAACACATAGGAAGTGTTCACTAAACGTTAGATGTTATTATTGGTAACACACAGGAGGAATGAAGCTCTTTGAGGGGAAAGCTGACCCATTTCACTCAGTAGCAGCAATTTTGCAAAGAATAGCATGTACCATTGCCCATATTTCTTTAAACATTAATCAAGGTCTTGGCAAATATAAGATGTTACTGGGTAACTCTACAAGTCACTAATTCTGTGCAGACAAGGTTCAGACCAAGCCAGACCCCCGGAGGAAAGTACTAAAGCTTCCCTGTCATACCAGGACTGTCTTTATCAACTATGATCAAATTATTTTTTCCCCTTTTTCACAATTTGCTTTTAAGCCCTTTGGTGGTATTAACATTACTTTTTAGTTGCTGAGCTACTAAGCTTGAGAAACTCGAGGCTGCTTTCTTAACCTGAGGGAAATTCCCAAGAAATATTTACTGTAGCTTGCTCACAAATGGTTCTTGGGGGTTTGTGAGTGATTTCTTCCACAACACAGTTTAACTGAGAGGTCAGATAAGGATGTCAAGTTAAAGAAAATGCAGGATAGGAGATAGGTAGGGCAGAGAGTAGCATGAAGGACCAGCAGTCAGGGGCAGAGATAAAAGCCAGGATCCTAACTAGCTTTGTAACCCCAGGCAGATCATTATAACCTCCATGAACCTCATTTTCAGCTGGAAAAGAGAACAAGGGACTGGACTAAATTTACAAGGTCTCTTTCAAGTTAAAAAAAAAAAATGAAGAAGAACAGAAAAAGAAAAAAAAAAGACTTAGGTATTATGCTGATTATATACAGCCTGCCAGAGTGCTTTCCAAAACATGATCATTTTCCTCCATGTGCACCCCTACTTCTCAACTCCAGCAACTCCTTTCCTGTCCATTTCACGAGGCCATCCAGGATTGCCTTATCTCCAGCACTGAAGGCTGGCAAAGGGGCGGGTGCCTCAAAAGCACATTTTTTATCTGAGGGCACTGCCATCAGATAAGAGGAGTTGGTTAATAGGTATCTGTCCTCATAATGTTGTAAAAGAGATTCCCATGTCTCTACACGGTTCCCCCGCACTCTTGGAAAACCTTCCTTGCATGTCCCCTTCTATGGGTGCCTGATCCAACGGCACCCATGGCTGGGCAGCTACCATGTGGTGTCATTCCCCAGTCCAGGGGTAGACCCCTGACCAGAGCTGAGCCAACCATGTTCTCATGGGGATATGGAATTGAGATTCTGAAACATTAGGCCCTGTTGACCCTTGGACTGAAGTGGGCACAGAGTTGAAGTGGCCATTTCCTTCCATGAGAGGGCCAAGGCAGAGAAGGTCCATCTGTATGTCTGCCTCACTCTTTTCTCAGTAGGGAATATCAGGAATGAGAATGCACACAACCTCAGAGAGGGTAGTTGCCTTGGAGTTAGGAATTCTATAGAAACCAAAAAATTACTAAGAACCAATTCCCAAGCTGCTCTGTACCTTTGTGTTCTGTGAAACATTTGTATCATTTGGATAAAATTGTCTTTAGTTTTAGAGCTAGTTTGAGTAGGTTTCTGTTAGCCTTTAAAAAGCAAATACCTGCTGGAAAAAGAGCTTTGAGGCATTTATTCTGGGACTCAAGACCCCAAAGAGTCATGACTTGAAGGACTAACTCTAGGAGAGAGTACTTCAGACACAATACAAGCTATTAGAGACATATTTTGGGGCAGAAGGATCTTCTTGGGGTCATTCAAATTTGTAAGCAACTTCCTGAGCCATCTTCCTGGCCGTGGTGGGAATTCTAGAGGAACATGCTTCACTAAGCTGTCTATGTCGTTTGCAAAACAGAGCATAACCAAGATCTTAGATCTCATAGATGCAAAGAATAATCAAAACTTAAGGTTGTATTAGCTTATTGATCACAGGAGAAACTAGAGAGACCACTAAGAAACTGGGTGTGTGGGTTGTGTCCATGTGTGGAACCCATTTTTAATCCTTTAATTGTAATATCCAGTGGGGATTAATGAAAATTTGTATTAGAAATTTACCACCTACAAGAATTTGTCCATAATAATCAAAGAGCAGGACAAACCTCAAAGGTTTGCATTGGCATGCGGAAGATATATTCAGACAGTAGTCCTCATAGTGGACTATTCTGATGATGTCTTTTTCTTAAGTTCCAAAGCAAAATGCACCATCTCGTGGCAAATTCATGGGCTTCGTAGACTGAAGGATGCAAAATCAACAGACTTGTCTCCTTAAGTGCAGTGTTATGTCAGCACTCTAGCACAGAGAAAACACTCAAGTGTTCATTTCTTCTACAAAACATTAACTTTACCGAGCCACCATGTAGCATTGCAACAATCTAGCCATCTCTTAAGCACCTCCTTGTGATAACATCTTGGTAGTTACAGCATGTGCTTTTATGAACTGCATTACATTCATTTCTCACAGCACTGTACAATACTTCTCCCAACCCCTGAAAAATGTACTTTTATACTCTACCGCCTTCAGTAGGCATAATACCCGTCATACATAATACCCGTCTTCATACATTCATCACCCGAATCTCCTTCTCCTTCCCACTGTTCCTGCAAGCACACACATCCCACTTGACCTTTACCCACTGAAACATTTACCCAGATTTCAAAACACTGTTCCTAATTCAAGTCACTGCATTAGGTGTGTCAGCCAGGTTCCCAGCAGGAAATGTGTCATCTGCGAGCGGAGTAATTTTAGGAGAGTTCAAAAAATGGACTACTACAGAGGTGGGCAGAACCGGGGAGAAGCACAGAGATAATGTGATGCCCCTAGGGCTAGCAAGAGCAGGATGTTATTATGAACGTTAGGCCTGGAGAAGCCAAGGAGAGGAGGTAACTATTGGAACCGAGAGTGAGAACTATAGACAGGTCCAGCTGACAGAAGGGAGGCCTTTCTAGAGACACATAGGCAGACTACTGTGACCTGAGAGGGGAGGAGCTGGGAGAAGAAATACTCTAACCTCACCACCCAACCCCCACCACATTGCCTTGCACTGGCCAAGACTCAGGAAACCAGAAGCAAGGGACCCTTTGATGCAATCCATGCGGTCAGTCTCTCTCTGAGCACAGAGCAGGCTCTGGAGGGCAATGAAAGAAATCCAGCAGGTATTCATGGTGATAAGGTTTTGCCCACTGCCACAGTACTCAGCAATAATGTCAACAATACACTCAAGTTGGGACACATGTGTTCCCAGGAAGCTGACCCTGGGCATTAGCATGCAGGAGATATATTCAGAGTCAATACCTGTGGTTCAAGACCTCTGAGCATCAGCACCCGTGGGAGATAAGGGCCTGAAATCTATCTTGCTGTTCCTTTGTCACAGTGACCCAAGGTCTCGACCTGAGAAGATGTAGCTTTGATTCCCAATAATGAAGTATATTTGCCTTGGCCCTTTCTGGGCTTCCATGTCTTATCAGTTTACAAATGTCCACATTCTCCATACTTTCCAGCACAAATGGACTACAGTATGCAGAGCGTGTGTGATATCAACCCCTGGAAGTTAAAAAGTGATCCTTGTGGGGTTAGGGGAAGGTGAAAAAATCTTAGAGATTACTATGGTCTGTGGCCCTTCAAAGGGCCATAGCACACAAACAGTTGTACAGTGTATCTGAGATAGTAAAACTCCATGAAGTGGGGAATGGGAGGAACAGAATTAGGGTAAAATATATCAGAAAAGGCACACACCACCACTGGAAAGGTACAATGTAACTGCAGAGCCCTCCACAGTGACCCAGCAGGCACAAGCAACATTTCCAACCCCAGCCTCCAGCATCATCTGCAGGACTTTCTAGGGGCCTAAGTAATAAAGCTTTCTTCTGTTTTACTCCCTTGAGTAGGACATATATGGCCAAGCCAGAACCCACAACTCTGTAGCCAATGTGAAGGGGCTAAAACTGGCCAAACCTATCACATGATCCCATTAATTCATGAACTCTTGCTCTGTGACACAAGACATCTGATACTTTCCATGACCCAAACTTGAAATAAGCCATTACCCCAAAGAGCCATCTTTTTTTTTTTTTTTAAGATTTTATTTATTTATTTGACAGAGAGAAACACAGCGAGAGAGGGAACACAAGCAGGGGGAGTAGGAGAGGGAGAAGCAGGCTCCCCGCTGAGCAGGGAGCCCGATGCGGGGCTCGATCCCAGGACTCTGGGATCGTGACCTGAGTCGAAGGCAGATGCTTAACGACTGAGCCACCCAGGCGCCTCTAAAGAGCCCATCTTTAATTGAGTAAGTATTAAGAGATCTGGGTCTAGGGCTGAGGTTGCTCATCATTTCTAGGCCATTTCTATAGTCCGTACTGGAATACACATAAATTAGTTTTAGAACGCTTTCATCATCCTCAAAAGAAAACCTCACACCCATCAACAGTCACTCCCCATTCCTCCACTATCATTCCAGATAAATTTTTATTTCAGTTTTACATTGTTTAGATTTGTTGAATGTGGCATGCAAGAACACAGCCTAGTTTTAGGAGGAATTTCTTTCTGGGCAAATTCTAGAGTGCCATAAAAGAGATCACGAGTGCTCTCATTCCTACCCAGGGTCATTTTCACTCTCTGCTCTACCCCACCCTCCAGAAGAAAGTCCTCTTTTAGAATAAGAAACAAGCAGGAGGTAAATCTCTTAGGGGCATCTTCCCAGCCCCCCACCCCTGGCTTCCCAACCACACCAGTGGGCCCTCAGGAGCCATTTTATACATGAAACCATGCCCCTGACCGTAGTTGATGGAACCAGAATTGGGCACCCAACCCAGCTAGGCCAGAGCCCTTCCTTGATAATTTGGAGAATCTGAGGGGAGTAGATTGTCATAGAGAAGAGGTAAGATAGAAGGGAAGGGGATTTTGTCAGTTTTCCAGCATTCAGACTGGGTCCATTTGTGGTGAACAGAATTCTAAAATGGTTCCTAAACTTGCTGTCCCTGGTGTCCACTTGTATAACACCCTCCTCCTTGAGAAGGACCCATGAATATGAGATATCCCTACCATGATTTTTTATATTATATAGCAAAAGGCGTTTTACAGATGTAATTAAGGCCCTAAATCAGTTTGAGTTAAAAGGGATATTATCTCTGGTGGGTCTGTCTTAATATGGTGAAGAAGCCTTAAAAAGAAGGAAGAAAGCAAATATCACACTATGAACTTCCCGTAGAGTAAGGTGGCCTCTAGGAGCTGAGACCTCAGTCCTACAACTATAAAGAACTGAATTCTGCCAATAAACAACAAGTGAGGATGGAGGAAGGCCCTGAGCTTTAACTGAGAGCCCCAGCTGACTAGTTGATTGTAGCCCATGAGCCCTAGCTCATCGGAAGCTAGATTCTTGACCCACAGAAACTATGAGAGTATAAACTTGTGTTGCTCAAGCCATTAAGTTTGTTAGTTACAGTTAGTTACACAGCAATAGGTAACTAATATACCATTAGTGTATTATTGGTTTAAAAAAAAACATAGCTTGGCACACTTTCATAAATCCTGACTTTCAACTTGAATTAGTTAACAATGGTTTATTTTCTTACAACCAGAGTCTTACTATACTTCTAGTTCCTTACTTAAGGTTCTCCAGAGAAACAGAACCAATAGCAGATTATCTATGTACTATATATAGTACCTATGTAATACATATACATACACACACATTTGTATGAATACATATATGTGTTTATGTGAAAAAGGAAATTTTTATTATGAGGGATTGCCTCACATGATTATGAAGTGCCCCCCATCTATTGTCTGTAAACTGGAGACCCAAGAAAGCTAGTGGTATAATTCAGTCCAAGTCCAAAGGCCTAAGAACCAGGGAAGCTGGTGGTGTAAATCCCAGTCAGAGGGCAGAAGAGATGAGATGTCCCAGCTCACAGTGAGGCAGGAAAAAAAGGGAGTTAATCCCTTCTTCCTCTGCCTTTTGTTCTGTTCAGGTCTTCAACGGATTGGTTGATGTCCACCCATAATGAAGAGGGTGTTCTACCTTACTGAGTCCACCAGTTCAAATGCTGATCTCATTCAGAAACAATCTCTGCAGACACACCCGGAAATAATGTTTAATCTGAGTCCCCCAAGGCCAGCCAAGTTGACACATAAAATCAACATTCACAAATTCACCCTTCAACTTGGCCTTCACATGTATCTCCTTAAATGGTACTTAATCTCCAAATGAAGACAATGATAAGATCATAATTCCACAATTCCATTAATTGCATAATTCCATAATTAACATGATACAGCTAACCCCTTTCCCAGAAGAGGAGGTAAAATCAAAAATGCACTAACCCCTTTCCCAGAAGAGGAGGTAAAATCCTTGAATGATGTTTATTCTTTCTCCTTGATCTCCCGTAATTTAATTACTATAATGTAAAAATTAACAATACTTAGATACTAAGTATATGATATATAAAATCAATACATCTTTTGTTACATGAAAAGGAGATGAGAAAGAAAAGAAAACAAAGACATACACACACGTACCTACATACATACACTCACAAATGTATTTATAGCAAAATAAGGAGGAAATACGACAATTACAGGCCTTGTACCTGTAGCTGGTATTTATAACTACTTTCTTCCACTACCCATTCTATATTCCCTTTGCCTTCAGCAAGTGCCTCAGCTGGTTGTAGTTCTTTACCTAGGAGGGAGACCCAGACCTTCATCACTGAAGGATCTGGACCATCAGTAGTCCCACCTGGATGGGGTTGTAGTTTTCCACTAATCTTAATCACAGGACTTGGTAATACTAAGAGATGCCCTAAGAGATCTCCTGTATTCCAGATGTACTCTTCTACCTCCATGATGAGTGGTAGTCCAGTTTCCCCTGGTAGTCAGGATCAGTCATCCCACTCAGTTACTTCTTTCTTTGCTTATTGATTTGGAGGCATGAGAAACCCAAAGTGGCCAGGTGGCGGTCTTAACTTCCAGTTCGATAGGATCATTGTTGTGTGTCCTGGTGAAAGCCTCTGGATTCTTCCTTCTGGAACTGAGATCTCTAGGCCAGCAGACAACAGAGTTGTGAGAAAGGAAACAAAATTCTGCTAGTGAGTCAATAGTGGGAATAGTGAATTTTGTCACTCCCATTTCATCCCCTCGATCCCTGGACTTGTTAATCTTGGCTATCGGTGAAACAACACCCTATATTGGATGCTGATTCAGAGCAGATGTGGCCTTCTGGAAAACCTTGCCCCAGCCTTCAAGGTATTGTTACCTAAGCCAGCACTGTAGACTCAGTTACAGGCCATTTCACCATTCTGCTAAGCCATGTGCTTCAGGATGGTGGGGAAACACAGTAAGACCAGTGAATGCCCGGAGAATGGGCCCATTGCTGCGCTGCTTTTGCTGTGAAGTGAGTTCTTTGATGAGAAGTAATGTTGTATGGAATACCATAATGGTGGTTAAGGCACCATATGAATCCATGGATGGTAGTTTTGGCAAAA